GCGCTCCGCGGCGGCCAGGCGCTCGGATGCCCGGAAACTTCTGGGGCTGGCGTATCCGGAGCGCGGGAGGCTGGCAGGTAGGGCTTTTTCTCCGTCCGTTCTCTTCCCAACGCTGGTCAGCACCCCTTACAAAGCGCGTGGTCCCGCGACCGCCGAGAGGGGACACCGCGGGGGCTGCAGAGAGACCCTGGGCCACTTGTAACACTGGGTGTAGGCACGGGCTGGCTTCTTACCTGGGGATCTCCACCAAGAAGGGCTGGGTGGAGCGCTCACCTCCCGGTAGCACTGTCGAGCGTTCAGGTTGGCCGAGTTGTGTTTTATGTTTCTCAGCTTGACACATGATACGAGTGGAGCAGTATTTCATTATTGGAACCTTTGGGTCTGTTCTGCTTTGGCATTGCCAGTATTCTCAGAACGGGCAGCGTCCCTCCACCCCCCCTCTTCATTGTAAAATTTATTCTAGCCAAAAATATACCTATTTTGTATTATACACTGATACTACTTAAAAACATTTTTTGCCTTAGACAAGTTTATTAAACAGCTTTTTTTTTTTTTTTTTTTTTTTTTTTTTTTGCTGTGTGAAGTAAAACAGTCTAAACCTTTCAGATTTGTCTCGTGCTTTTTGCCTCCCTCAATGGTAAGCAGGAAGTTACTAGCTCTTCAAAAAAAATCAAACACTGCCTACCATCAGTGATCTGTAAACTCCAGAAACTTTGAGCAAACTATAGACCAAACCCCAGCTAAATCGTAATTGAGTAATTTTTTAAAGAAATAAAAGTGAATGTTTTTAAATGTGTATTTTTTTGAGAGAGAGAGCGTGAGCCGGGGGAGGGACAGAGAGGGGGACAGAAGATCTGAAGCAGGCTTCTTGCTGTCTGCACAGAGCCTGACTTGGGGCTGAACCCCCTGACCGAGGGATCACGACCTGAGCCAAAGTCAGACGCTCAGCCGACTGAGCCACCCAGGCGCCCCAAAATGAATGTTTCAGAACGATTTTCGATATCTCCTCGTTTTTAACCATAATTCGGGAAATGTTGGCCTTTTAAGATTTAAAAGTTTCTGACATTTCCCTAAATCTTCATTTCTTTAATAAATATTTATTGAGCCCCCTCAGTGTCTGGTGGGCCATGGGTTGCATGGGTGAGCAGAAAGAAACACAGTTCCTGTTCCTCCTAGGGCTTTCAGCTTAGTGGGGAAGAAACATAAATGAAATAATCATATGACTGGAGAGAAAACTGCAACCGTGATGAGGGCTTGGGATCGAGGCCTGTGAGGTTGTCAGATGCAGCCCTTGAAACAGTGAGAATCCCACACGCTTTGCCGCAAATCCCCTGCTTTAGAAAAGATTTTCCAAGAGAGTCATTTGCAATGTAGGGCAGGTTGGTGCTACGGAGGAGGGCAGATAGGGAGAGAATGTTTCTCTTCTTACTGTTGAAGCTTAGGGGAATTCTTGGTATCACTGAGGTAGAAAGAATTTATGTCATGGCTCACTTGATTGTATGTAGATTTTGATGGAAATAAAGATCTTTTACTCTATTAAAAGAACATTTTGAGACTGGAAGATCCCACTGGACTGTGAGCTGCTTGAGAATGGCGCTGGGTCTAATTCTGTCTAGTTCTTAGCATGTGTGCTGCCTAGAGCAGGGGCTCCAAGTGCCTGAGGTGGAAGAATAAATAATGGTACAACCAGGCCCAGATTGAGGCCCAAACGTAGAGACCCTGAACCCTACAGGGTGTGTCTGCCATTCCCATATGCAACTCAGAGTGAGTGCTAGGAAAACCAGGGGTGTTTAAAGTTTATTTATTTATTAAGAGAGAGAGAGAGCGTGCGAGGGAGTGGGAGAAGGGCAGAGAGTGAGGGAGAGAGAGAAGCCCCAGCAGGCTCCACGCTGTCAGCACAGAGCCCCACGTGGGGCTTGATCTCACAAACCGTGAGACGACCCGCGCCGGAACCAAGAGTTGGACACGTAACCGGCTGAGCCCCCCGGTGCCCGGTTTTGTTTTATTTCTGAGATATTAGGCGCTGAGAAGGTTTTTTAGGTGTCAGGCTTTGCTGGTGCCCACATGGGCTCGGCACCATGGGTAGCGTAGCCCCGCATCTCGCGTGCCCATCATCCCTGTACCTTCTTACTCTGTCCCCACATGTCCCACCACGCTGGTATGTGGAGAAGTAAAGCAAGAGCTGTACCGCCTTTTATTATAAGAAGAGCTAGTTTGGGGCGCCTGGGTGGCTCAGTCGGTTGAGCGTCCGACTTCAGCTCGGGTCATGATCTCACAGTTCGTGAGTTCAAGCCCCACGTCGGGCTCTGTGCTGACAGCTCAGAGCCTGGACCCTGCTTCAGATTCTGTGTCTCCCTCTCTCTCTGACCCTCTCCTGCTCATGCTCTGTCTCTCTCTGTCTCAAAAATAAATAAAACATTTAAAAAAATTAAAAAAAAAAAGAAAAGAGCTGTTTTGATCTGCCTCGCTGAATAATTGTGAACATTTAATCCGAGAAAGGCTGAGGTTGGTTCACTAATTCTTCTAAACAGACAATCAGCACGTGTTGTACCTTATAAGGAAATCTGATGAAAAACCCTTACTAGGACATACGGTTTCCTTAAAAGTCATTGTGTATGATATATTGAAGCCAATCTGGATGTTGGCATTTGTGGGATTAAAAGGAAGTGGGGTGTCATGTCGTCATTAATTTGTAACTTATCATCATAAGGGCAGCCTCAGATGTTGGCACAGCTCTTCGAAATGCTACAGATAAAGAGCTGTGTGCGTGTGTGTGCGCGCATGTGTGTATTATAATCAAGAGACCAAAAAAAAAAAAAAAAAAAAAAAAACCCGAGTTGCAGAGAAGGAATTCCAATGTTAACGTGCTGGTTTTTAGGAAAACAAACGCAAACGTCCTTTTTTAACAATTCAGCCATACATCTGATTAACGACATTTTCCTCTGTCTTCAGCAGTTTGCTGAGTATGCCACCTGAAGTGCGTGACCGGGAAAGTCGGATCTTAAGTAATTTGTGTCAGAAACTGTAAAATCAGGGTCTGCCATTTGAACTGTTTCCAGATGTGTGTGTGCAGAGAGCGGTCGTAGCATCACCCACCCCCCCCCCCCCCAGGTCTTCTAGAGGCACTGCAGCCCCTCACCCGCCCCTGTGCCCCCTCCCCTGCTACCGACTTGCTAGAGGAATCCACAGCCCATCTTCCTACAGCTGTGGCCCACAGCGGTGCTCTCCGGTCTCACTGATAACTCTTCCTCTTATCCCCTTGGCCAGAAGGAGTCTTCAAAGATACAGGAGCTCACTGAGGAGCCCCTAGTGGACTGCTGGGATAAGAAGTCATTTGTCAGAGCCCCTTGCTGCGCCTGGCAGATAGAGGGGGGCGGTGGAGGGCTCTGACCATCCCATTGAGTTAGGGGCAGGGAGCACTGCGTGAGCTGATCTCAGCAGTGAGGTGTGTGGGCCGTTGGGGTCCTGTGGGGTCGTGACCACAGTGCCAACCTGGAGGTGCACACAGAGACACCTTGCCAGGCAGGTTCCCGGTTACACTGTGCAAGATACACCACACCCCTCCACCCACACTGTTCAGTTGAGGCCTCTGTGGAGGACCTGGGAGGGTGCCTCTCACTTAAAATACTGATAAGGGCTGTGTGCTTTGAGATTAGGGCCATTCTGAGAACCCCATGCCCACCGGGAGCTTTTGCTGAATGTATAAGTTATATTTTATGAAGTGACCAAAAACAATGAAGTGATAAAACCAGTGAATACGGTAAACAAGGAGCGGATGAGCCGTGCTGAGAGCAACTATTCCCTGAAGTCCCCAGTCAGGACAGAGGCTCTGACAAGGACAGTACTAACTGGCACATGAGGCTGCACCTTTGAAATGGGGACTGCTCCAGAAAGCGGGGGATGTTTGCTCTGGAGACACCATATATCAGAGAACGCCTTAACGTTCTGTAGCTGTGCTATGAAACGTGTTAGCATTGATTTAAGTGGAAAGTGCATACCAGTTTTAAAAGAACTTGGTATGAAGAAAAAAAAAAAAGTGAAGTATCATTGTAGGGTTCGCTATTATTTTTATGTAGATTACATGTTGCTTAATAACTTGGATATATTGGATCAAGTGTGTTGTTAAAATTAATCTTACCCACTCCCTTTTACTCTTTTAATGTGGCGATTAGAAGATTTAAAATTACATAGGTGGCTCAGTCGGTTAAGCGTCCGACTTCAGCTCAGGTCATGATCTCGCGGTCCACGAGTTCGAGCCCCACGTCGGGCTTTGTGCTGACAGCTCGGAGCCTGGAGCACCTGCTTCGGATTCTGGGTCTCCCTCTCTTTCTGCCCCTCCCCCACTCGTGCTCTGTCTCTGTCTCTCTCTCTCTCTCTCTCTCAAAAATAAATAAACATTAAAAAATAAAATTACATGGGTGGCCATCATGTCCCCTGAGCAGAGAGTACTGGAGGCAAAGGCAGCCCCCCCGCCCCCCAATTGCAAATATGACCCAGATGCCTCAGTCTTCAGCACGTGCTGACAGTCTGGAAGGTCTTTGTTCTGCGTGAACCTAAGAAGTTTCCTAAATGCTCTGCTTCCTGCTAGTCCGCCAGCCCCTCGCGTCTTCACTTCCTTCCCCATCCAGTGTAGATGCCAGGCTTCTTCACCTCACCCTCGAACCTGGAGTATCTTCTACTCCTTTGTTCCCCATGGTACCCACCTTGCATCCACGGAAATGTCTCCCAGATGCCTGAAAACTCAACATGTCCAAAGTCCAAAGTTACCTTCCTCCCCCAAACTGCCTTTTCTGCTGCCGCTTCTCTCAGAGTGGGCTGCTGTGTGAACCCCTTTGCCAAAGCCAGAGACGTTCTTGACTCCTTGTGATGGGGACAACGGAAGTGCTATCTACTATGTATTGTTTGCTAGATATCGGGCACCGTACCAGATGCTTTACATGTATGTACTGAATTTTCTCCTTGTGGTATCTCTATGAGAGAGGTATTATTTTTATTGCCGTTTTACAGATGAAGAAACTGAGGCACAGAGAGGTTGAGTGACTCACTGAAGGTCCAACAGCTAGATGGCAGAGCTAGGTCTCAGTTTAGAACCTACCCTCCTAACACGCTTCCCAAATCCGGTCAATTCTCGGGTCCTCTGGAGCCTCGTTCCTAAAAACATCTGCAGTCCTTGTCACCTTCCTTGTCCCCTCTGTCCCCACCCTAGTTCCCCCAGTCCCCCTTGCCTGAAACCCTGGAACACCACACCGTAAGCGGTCTCCGTCTGCGGTCATGCTGGCCTCCAGTTCTCTCCTTTCACTCTGCAGCCAGAGCTGGACATTTAAAATGCAAAGTTGCCTGTAGCACTCGCCCGCCTAAAGCCCTCTGACAGCCTGCCATACTGCAAATTCCCTGTTCCGCTTCACAATCCGGAGCCCCCCACCTCTCCACTTTATTTCTCAGGGCTGCTTTTGTGTCACGAGGTCCCTATTCCAGCTCTGTCCTGCAGCCATTCTGCTGCTTGCTGGCCTGCCCCAACCCCAGGCTCATGCCGATTCCTCTGCTTGGAACGTAGGAAGAAGAGGAAGGCTTTGTGTCAGAACAGGGTTCTGTACTATATGAACTGGGTGACCTTGGGCAAGCGCCCTCACCTCTTTGCTGGAGTTGCCTCTAAAATAATGAGGATAAGAGGGGTGCTGGGAAGATTCAAGGAGATAATGCCTATCAGAGGCTTCAGATCGTGGTGGGGGCTCGTTTTTGTGCTTCGTCTTTAGTCCTGGAACGACACTGGGGATAGCTGTACCGGCCTGATGGTCAGATGTGTCGCTAAAAGATTGGTTCTGTGTCCAGCAGCTGGGGGTCATGCTGTAGAGCGTCTTCCACCCACCCCAAAACTTCTGGGCTTTCATGAGTAAACTCTGCATTTTAGGATTTCTTCCCTCCTCCCTTTGAAGGATATTTCACTTTTTGGATGCCGTGGTTCAGTAGAACGAGGATAACCTTCAGGAAGATACCTGAAGAAATCTGTCAAGAGATACATAACAGTTGCTGGGGTCCCATCAGGCAAGAGGCTTAACCATGGAAAACAGTTGAAGAATTTCAGAAGGGTTGCAGTGTCCTTGGCATGTTGGGTTTAGGGAGGAATCTGGAACGATAGTTCTGGTTCAAATCTAAATTATTCACTAATGTCAAAGACAGTGGTATGTAGGGAAGACGTCCATTAAAAAGAATCCAGCTAACTGAAAGCTAAAAAAAATCTTTTATTTTACTTTTGTCTACGTTCATTTACTTTTGTCTATTTTATTTTACTTTTGTGTCCTGCGTTGTAGGAGAAGGACACAAATGGCAATAAAACAGGCTGATAATCTTTTTTTTTTTTTTAATTAAAAGGAAAAAGGGCATATCCTGGAATGAGTTTGGATTCAACTAAATTCTTTCCTCTTTGTAATCGTTATTATGACTGTGTCAGAACTAGGGTTCAGAATCTAAATCGTGGGGCATTTCATTCGCGAACTCCAGATTCTGATTTGGAATCATCAATTTGAATTAAAAGACGGGAGGAGGGAGGGGGAAATGGAACCTTCTGGCACTTCACATGCATTGCACCCGAGGAGGCGTTTGCCAGAGCAAAAGAGCAGACTGGAGAGACTAGCTAGCTACTGATGACAGATGAAACAGAAAGGCCTCTCGGGTTAATCCCTCCTTCCTCAGGACGCCTCTCTCCAGAGCACACCAGCTCCCTGAGGTTGTGCTGGGCAGAATCCCGAGTAAACATTCTCTGTGCCTGGTGGGCTTTCAGTCCCTCTGGGCTCTTGTCGTCAGGAGCGTGGCATTTTGAAACAAGACCCCAGGTCTTGCATCAAAATGAAACGGCCCTTGGCCAGGTTCACATTATTCAGTTAAACTGTGGTTGTGCGGTATGAAGCCAGACACAGGAACTTTCTGGCTCTGTGCAAAGACTCATTTCCATGTGGACTTTCCGAGGCACCAGATATTCCGTTCCTAGTTAGGCTCACTGAGGCACTTTGATGTGATAGACTTTTATGCCTTCTTTGCCCCAGTTCAGTTTTTTTAGTCATCCAGCAGATGTTTATTTTGAACTTCTCCTGTGTCTCTGTCCCCGTAGGCGGTGGGAGTATAGCAGTGAACGAAACAGACAAAAATCTTTTAGGTCCCAGTGGAGAGTAGACAGTAAACAAGTGACACTTTTGGTTTAGAATGCCAGAAGGTGGCAAGTGCTAGGAGAAGAAGGAAGAGGGAGTGATGCAGGCAGTGTTTGGGTATTTGTATTTTAACGAAGGTTGTCAGAAGGTCGTCCGCTAAGGTCTTCTCCAGAACAGGATGTCAGGAGGCCTCGAGGAAGGAAGAGAGCCATTGTGGGAAATGTTCCCTCCCTAAATGCCTCCCCTTTCTCCTAGCGCTCTGCCAGCCAACTAACCATTGGCACTGAGTCTGCTCTTTGCTCTTTTTTAAATGTAAACAAATATTTTTGATTGAAGTCTAGTTGATGTGCAAAGTCATATTCGTTCCAGGTGTAATATATTGAATCATCAATTCTGCCCTTTACTCCGTGCCCACCACGATAAATGTAGTCGCCATCTGTCACCAAACAGCATTTAGTACTGTATTATTGACTGTATTCCTCAGACTGTACTCTGCATCTCTGTGGCTTATTTATTTTATAACTGGAAGCTTGTTCCAGTTCATCTCCTATATCTATCTCTCTTTTTTTTTTTAATTTTTTGTTTAACGTTTATTCATTTTTGAGAGACAGACAGAGACAGAGTATGAGCGGGGAAGGGGCAGAGAGAGAGGACACAGAATCTGAAGCCAGCTCCAGGCTCTGAGCTGTCAGCACAGAGCCTGACACGGGGCTCGAACTCACGAACCGCGAGATCATGACCTGAGCCGAAGGCGGACGCTCAACCAACTGAGCCACCCAGGCACCCCTGTATCTGTCTCTTAATACTCTCTCCCACCTTTCCTCTGGTAATCTCCAGTTCTCTGTATTTAAGAGTCTAAAATATTTTGTTTGTCCATTTGTTTTGTTTTTTATGCTCCAAATGTAAGTGAAGTCACGTGCTGTTTGTCTTTCTTTGTCTGACTTACCTTACTCAGCCTAATACCCACTCGGTCTATCCATATTAGAGGAAATGGCAAGCCCTCATGCTTTTTTATGGCTGAGTAATATTCCACTGTGTGTGTGTGTGTGTGTGTGTGTGTGTGTGTTTGTGTGTGTGCGCGCGCGCGTGCACGCACACATACCACACTATCCATTCATCTGTGGATGGACACTTGGTATTGTAAATAATACAATCTATATTCTTTTTATTGAGGTTACGTGAAAGTAATACCTTTAACTGCAGTGGTTAGCATTAGACAAAACACCAAGAGAAGCAATTGCTACTTGCAGTGTGTGAGAGCTCCCATCTCCTGGGGTTCCGTCCATGTCGTGTTCATCTAGGAGCCTCGCCATGACTTTAAGGTGGTGGTACTAGGTGGGTTCCTAATAGGACCAAGCTCAAAAGTACGCAGTAGCACATACCCTGCCCCCCAGTCACCCTGGTCTTAAGAAGGAACTTTTGTTGCCTGCATCTGATTACTCTCCTGGAGTTGTCCTGTGTGTACGTAAACTTCGAAACCAACAAGAAAACGTTAACATCCGGGTCCTGGGCTGTTTTCACTAACATCGTAGCTTGGTGACGTCAATACCTATAGAGTTGCCCCATTCTTTTTAATAACTGTGTAACACTCAGAAAATAAATGCTCCTTTATTGATCTAACCTGTTCCCCATTTGTGGATGTTCCGCTGGCATAAGTGATGCTGTAATGAACATCCGTGAGGGTACACGTTTTGCATACACTTAGGGGAGTATACATAGAAGTTAGAATCTTAGAGGCAGAATTGCTGGATCAAAGGGAATGTACATTCACATTTTAACCGATATGATCGCATCACTCTCCGTTGCATTTGTACCACTTTGCACACCCACTAACAGTGCAAATGCCCCTTTTCCTACAGCTTCTTCCAGCACGGTGTGTTATCAATCTCTGATTTTTGCCAATCCAGTAGATGAAAACTGGAATACCTTTGTAGTGTAGATTTGCACTCCCTTATTATGAATGCACTCACCTGTTTTATGTGTTGTTCCTGGTTGGGTTTTCTCAGTATCTTCCTTTCCGTTAAGACTCTATCCCACTGTTTTTTAGACGGATGAACAATTGTGTTATTATCTATTGTCCTATCATGCCAGTACTCTGGTGCTTTATTCCCCAAAGCAGTAAGATTAAGAGGGAACATACCACATGTGTCATGGATGACAGCAACTGCTTTCCAAAGGTTATTTAAAGTTTTGAAATTCTATACATAATTCAGAGATCTACCTGCGTTGCTTGAATTCCTGGCAAAGCAGACACGATCAAACCTGGGTAAAAGCACAAGTCATCTTCTCTGGCTACTTGGGTATGCTCAGTCACCCTCCTCACTCTGTCCCTGGAAGCTCCTCGGTTCTTGCCTTTAGTCAAGGGCCCGGGAGCTGAAAGAAGGAAACCCGCAGCACCTGCTCTGCGCAAGCTCTGAGAAGCGCATGCTCTGAACAGCTGCTGCGGGCAAGACGCTTGGTGAATTTGGCGCCCCGCCCCTCGCCAAAGCACCCCCGGGCCTGAGAACTTCCTGTGTTTTCTAGCCGCAGTTGGGTTTCTGGCCATGTCCAGTGTCATCACCATGTCCGCTCCCTTCTTCCTGGGGAGGATCATCGATGTCATTTACACAAACCCCACCGTGGACTACAGCTATACCCTGACCCGCCTCTGCCTGGCACTCAGCGGCGTGTTCCTGTGCGGTGCTGCTGCAAACACTGTTCGCGTCTACCTCATGCAGACTTCAGGTAAAAGGGCCCTCACCTTGCCGAGCGAGGCGTTCCAGAGGATTCGCACTGGGGCTCACGTGGGGTTTCGTGCACTCCGGGCCCCCTGTTCCTCTTTTCCCACAGTCCCATCCAGCGGGGACAAAGCCCCATGTCTGGCCAGACATGGGAGCTACGAATATTTTTCGATCCGGCGCTCACTTCTCAGCTCCCCTGGTACGTGGGTGGAAGGGAGGGAAGCCGCCTGTCTTACGGGAGGCACGGCCCGTGGGCAGGAGGCTGGAGTTCTGAGCCTTCTCCAGGGAGCTGTGGAAATCTTGCATGCTCCGTGTTTGTGTTTCCCCTCCAGTGGGCACTGGGGCGATGGTGTTTTACAGCCTTTCCGTGACGAGGCCTGGCTGTTAACAGGCCGGTGACAACCACAGAAATCACAGAGCCCGGGGTGCCAGACTCTTCGGTCAGCTGCTCGCCACTTAGCTCATAAAACGCTCTGCGGATGATTAACCGGCCCTTGCCGTTGCTGAGCTCGGTACAGAAAAGGATTGCCAAGGGGGAACAGAATCAGCTTTGGGGAAGTCAGCGTAGGAAGCCTCATTTGTAAATAGTACTGTTTAAAATGTCTCTCAGCGATCAGCGATCCTCTGTTTTATCCCCGGATCCCCTCCTGCGCATCCACGGTCTCCGCACGGTTCCTGAGGCAGAAAGAGTGCTCGTTACCAGTGTGTGCGTGTCAGTGTGCCGGGGCTCAGGGGGGCCACTTGCCGGCAGGTGGACGCAGGGCCCCAGACGTGCTGGGAGGAGGTTGACGACAGCCGCCCGAGCCGCTGCCTGTTAGCTGGCTCCACCCAAGCTGATGCCGTTCTTGTTTGCTTTTGCAGGTCAGCGCATTGTGAATAGGCTGAGGGCTTCGTTATTCTCCTCTCTTCTGAGGCAGGAGGTTGCTTTCTTCGACAAGACTCGCACTGGAGAATTGATTAACCGCCTCTCCTCGGACACCGCGCTCCTGGGGCGCTCAATTACCGAAAACCTGTCGGATGGGCTCAGGGCCGGGGCCCAGGCTTCCATTGGCATTGGCATGATGGTACGTCGGCCTGGCTGGCGTCGGCGCCTTCTGGTCAGGGCTTTGGCCTGTGCCGGGCCTCTCAGTCAGGGGATGAGCTCTAGCTGAGCTGTTCCCATCGCCCCGTAAGCCACTTAGCCAGGAGGGCTGCCACAGAGGCACGGGGGATGTGGGGCTCGCTTCCTCCTGTGCGGCCTCCTGCACCCTTCATTTGTCCAGGATGACTTCTTATCTGGAGCGTGCACCATTAACATTTAGGAAAGATTGCATTATTGCCTGGGTGTTCTAAGAATGTGTGACAGAATGTTGCTGAAAAAAGCAACAGGTGGAAGGAGCACTTTGAGTGCCAAGCTGTGTGTTAGAGGAAAGGCAAATAAGTTACATTCCACCCGCCTTCCCCCGGCCCCCACCAAAAAATGCAGTAGAGCTGCTATTGCTATCTTGATAAGACCAAGGGATGGTTTCCTTTCCTCTTCGTAAGGAAGACGATAAACCCTATCCTGTACACGAGTGGGTCTGTACTCCACTGAAGTGAGCTCTCTCTACTCCCGCAGCCCCTTTTCCTGCCTTAACCGGGTGGCTTGAGCACCGTCGTCTGTTTGCCTTGCTTCTTCAAACCCTGTTTCTGTTCAGACCTGTGCTGCTGGCCGCTAGAATGTAATGCAAACTACATAGGTCATTTTAAACTTTCGAGTAGCCACAGTTTATTATTATTTTTAAATGCTACTTATTTATTTTGAGAGAGAGAGAGAAAATAAATGTTATTTATTTATTTTGAGAGAGAGAGAGAGAGTGCGAGCAGGGAGAGGCAGAGAGGGAGGGAGAGAGAATCCCAAGCAGGCTCTGTGCTGTCGGCACAGACCCCAAAGCAGGGCTCGATCTCACGCACCGTGAGATCCTGACCCGAGCTGAAGTCAAGGCTCTGACACTTCACTGATCGAGCCACCCAGGCACCCCTCTAGTAGACACATTTTATTTTTTTTTATTTTTTATTTTTATTTTTTTTTCAACGTGTTTTTATTTATTTTTGGGACAGAGAGAGACAGAGCATGAACGGGGGAGGGGCAGAGAGAGAGGGAGACACAGAATCGGAAACAGGCTCCAGGCTCTGAGCCATCAGCCCAGAGCCCGACGCGGGGCTCGAACTCACGGACCACATGATCGTGACCTGGCTGAAGTCGGATGCTTAACCGACTGCGCCACCCAGGCGCCCGACACATTTTAAAAAGCAGAAAGAAATGATTTTTTAAATGTTTATTTGTTATTCTTAAGAGAGGGCGAGAGTGAGAGCAAGCAGGGGAGGGGCAGAGAGAGAGGGAGACAGAGAATCGGAAGCAGACTTTCCACTGTCTGCGCAGAACCCGACATGGGGTTCGAACTCACAAACTGTGCGCCGAAGTCAGATGCTTAACTGACTGGGCCACCCAGATGCCCCCAAGATGAGATTAATTTTAATAACGTATTTTACTTAATCCAGTATAACAAAGCATCAGTTCCACATGTAATTTTTGTACCAATCATTAATCTGATATTTAATATTATTTTTTCATGTTAAGATTTCAAAATCCAATGTGTATTTTATACTCATGGAGCATCTCAATCCGGATGCTAAATTTTCATTGGAAATATTTCAGCTGTATTTAGATTTCATAACGTTTGCCATTGAAAAGGTAGATTGACATGCCAGAACTTGACCTAAACTTGACCAATAACTGAATAGAAATGAAATATTGGTTTTTAAGTTTAAATTTTAGTGAAAATTTAGGGATTCAGTTTCTCAGTCACACTGGCTGCATTTGCAGTGATCAGTGGCCATGTGGCCCTGTCGTTGTGAGCAGTGCAGTCCTAGATCCCCAGAGTGAAGATTCTAATTGACCCCATCTCCCAGGTGGAGCAGCTTGGGTTTTTGTCCTCTTTGCGTCCACGCAGCGCTCAGTCCAGAGCAGAAGGACGTACTGCCAACCTGAGCCGGTAAGATCTGGTTTATGAAATGAAAAGCCGCTGTGAAATCCCGTGTTTTCTCAAGAAGACCCATCCTGCACTAACGCATCATTCCTAAATATCGATAGTTCTGGGGCTCAGGAAAAGTTGGGAACCTCTTCCTGTAACAGTTTCAGACAGTTCAGAATAAGTCCGATGGCTAATCAGAAGGGGCCTTAGTCTGCTCAGGCTGTCTTAACAAAGTACCACAGAGCGGGTGACATAACTGACAGAGATTTACTTCTTACAATTCTAGAGGTTGGAGTCCAAGGTCAAGGTGCTGGCCAAGTTGGTTCGTTGTGAGTCTCTTCTATTGGCTTGGCTTGTAGGTGGCCGCCATCCTGACATGTGCTCACATGGCCTTTCCTCAGTGCTTGCGTGCAGGTTCTTAGGGGTCTCTTTTCTTAAGGACCCTGATCTCATCAGGGCCCCACCCTCATGACCTCATTTCACTTTAATTACTTCCTTAGAAGCCCCATCTCCAAATATAGCCACACTAGGGTTAAGGCTTCAGCATATAAATTTTGGGGGGGGGGGGGCCACCAACATTCAGCCTCATGAGTTGGCATCACCTGGGACCTGGTTTTTAGCCCTGGAGGAACAAAAGTAGCCTTAGTTTCTCACAAGCTCCCTGGACCTGACCTCTGATAAGTCTGCTGACAAGAACCTAGTAATGTCTATACCAGACTGCAAGTTTAGTAGTTTACATTACGGGATCTTCCTTCCTACAGTAAGATGTGTGTTCCTGGGGCGCCTGGGTGGCTCAGTCGGTTGAGTGTCCGACTTCGGCTCAGGTCAGGGCCTTGCAGTTTGTGAGTTCGAGCCCCGTGTCGGGCTCTGTGCCGACAGCTGAGAGCCTGGAGCCTGCTTTAGAGTCTGTGTCTCCCTCTCTCTGCCCCTTCCCCACTCGTGCTCTGTCTCTCTCTGTCTCTCAAAAATGAATAAATGTTAAAAAAAAAAAATGTGTGTTCCTGCTCTTCCAAATGCTCCTTTTTGGTGACAGGACCCTGCATTAGGCTTCAAAGACTTATTACCAAGCACGGAACCAGAGCAGAGAGAGGTGGGTGGTGCCGAGACATTCTGATGGCTATTCCGGCCCCACCGCAGAGGACGCCCATGCAGTTGGTTTGCTTGAGCTCTGTCGGATTCAGGCGCCGGAACTGTGAGGCCTGCCTTGATTGTATCCCTGCCCCTGAGCATGGCCTGCAGGTGACCTGCTGGACTGCACGGCCTGTGTGCTCAGGGTGGATGGGTCCATAAGTGGTCAAAGGTGCCCACCACCTTCCTGCCTCAGGGCCTTTGGGCACTTGCCCTTGTAAGACCCTATTACACCTGCAGTTATCCTCTGTGTGTCTCTCTCTTTTACCCATCTGCTATCTAGCTGTCACTCTGATAAAACTCCACATGAATCAGCTGTCTCCCAGGTGCCTGGAATAGTGTGAGCTCTCTGTAGGCGTTCAGTAACGGGCTGTTGAATGAACGATTGGCTGATCCATTTATCACTGTACGTTTCGGTCTGCGACTTTTCCTTAGCGTTTTAAGAAAGCCTCATGCCGACTATACTATTTCCCATGCAGATGAGATTTGGCAGATTTTAACCATTTGTTGAAGAGACGCTGGTACCATTGAAAATCCAATCACCGAACTGCAGGGTTGGCAGGAGCCCCATTATGTTATGTCTCTAGAAGTTGATTATTTCCTCCTTGAGCAGCTCCAGTTGCTAGAAACTTCTTATGTTGAGTCCACATCCCTCCTGCCGAGACTTCGGTCCTCTGAGCCCTGGAAACAGCTCCAACTCTTCTTCCACTTGTTAGTCCTACTTTCACCTGATCGTCGATTGATACGGGGTTTTGTGGTGTCTTTGCCGTCTTGGCCATTTCAGTGCGACGTTGCTCTGGTCATTCAGTGCCTTAGAGGGGACCCAGACTTGAATACAGAATTCCTGGTGTGGTCCGGCCAGCGTGGAGCAGCCCGGGCCTCCTTCCTTCACTCCTGTCCTGCCTTCCCCCCCCCTCTCGTTGGACAGCATGGTCTAATGTGCACACAGCACTGTACCGGCTGTGGTCCAGCACTGGACGGTAAAATATTTCCATCCTTTCTTCAGCAGCTTTGTCCGTATTACCCCTGTGTGGTGTGCTCAGTACTCAGGGGGTTTTATGAAGCTTGAAGTTGTCTGAATAACACACACATACACACACACACACACACACACACACACACACACACACCTGTAGTAGGTAATGAAAGTGTCTTGCTGCTCTGTGTAACAAACACCTAACACCTTTTGGCTTTTGTTTTTGACAGTTTTATGTCTCACCTCAACTGGCCACTTTTGTTTTGAGTGTGGTGCCTCCAATATCCGTCCTTGCTGTGATTTATGGACGTTACCTACAGAAGCTAACCAAAGTTATGCAGGATTCCCTGGCACAGACCACTCAGGTAAAAGCCCCTCCCTTACGTGGTCTCCGCTTGGAGGAGATGTGCTTCTGCTTTTCAAAAAAGTACTTCACTTTTCCTTAAGGGAGCCCTCAAGAAGGCTAGAAACCCAGACTAGGTTTCTATGGGCTAGAATCCTATAGATTCTATCCTTCTAGAATAGGCTAGAATCCTAGAAACCTAAAATACTCTGCCTTCTAGACTAGATTACTACCCACACCTTGAAGTAGATCCCATTTGACTAAACATTGTGTGAACTCTTTAGTTCTTTACCATCACTGTTTCTTATAGGATCGCAAAGCTCATTATATTTTGAAAATAATGTCTGCGTGACGCTTTGTCCTTCGTTAATTGAGAAGTGAAGCTTTGCAATGCTATCCAGTATTGCATTTTTTAAAAACTAAACATAGCTGGTACATTTTCATGTTACAAAAAGCATGGGTGTTTATAATTGAAAACTTGAAAATATCAAGAGAAAAAATAACACATATAACTCTACCTCTCAGAATGAATGGTATTAACATTTTGGAGTCTATCCTTTTTACCTATCTTTTTCTCTGTCTAAAAATATATTTCACAGGGCACCTGGGTGGCTCAGTCGGTTAAGCATCCAACTCTCGATTTCGACTCACAATCTCACAGTTTCATGAGTTCGAGCCCCGCGCTGGTCTCTGCACTGACCACACACAGCCTACTTGGAATTCTTTCTGTATCTACTCTCTCTCTCGCTCCCTCTCTCTCTCTCTCTCTTTCTCTCTCTCTCTGCCCCTACCCTGCTCGTACTCTCTCTGTCTCTCTCAAAATAAGTCAACTTTAAAAATATATATATATTTCAGCATCTATTAGCCCCCGTTTGCCTTTCTATCTACATATATATGGCGTGTAAATGTGTAAATATAACAAAAATATATTTGTTTCCAAAAATAAAATTGTTCATATACTCTGCTTTGTAATCTATTTTTAATGTCTTAAAAATGAGAGCCCCATTTTGACTTTGCTCTAGAAATCTTGAAATGTGACTTGCCTCCCCTGAAATGTATTTATTATTCTCCCAGCTAGCTGAGGAAAGTATTGGAAATATAAGAACTGTTCGAGCTTTTGGGAAAGAAATAACAGAAATAGAGAAATACACCAGCAAAGTGGACCACGTGATGCAGTTAGCAAGGAAAGAGGCGTTTGCTCGGGCTGGCTTCTTTGGAGCAGTAAGTAGATCATTTTGAAAAGAGTGCAAAGGACAGATGTTACGACTGAAACAGATTTGTATTCCCTTGACTTTGCCGTAAATAGAAAATAATTCTATTCCACTTCAAGATTAGGTCTGAGTTCATTTTTGTGAAAGAAGAGGAAACCACTACATGTGACTAAGCGGCGGTGGGGGCAGGCAGATCCCCAACATGGCCCAGACCAGCCACGTCCGCCTCACCGGGGAACTGTCTAGAAGTGTAGACCCTCAGCTGCACCCCAGGCCTACAAATCCAATGCTCTGGGGCTGCGCCCAGCAACAATCTGTTTTAACAGGCCTCCAGGTCGCTTCTGATGCAGGCACTTTGAGACCCACTGGGGATTAACCAAAATAACTTCAGTGTGTTTCAAGAAAAAAGTATGACAAAAATGATCACATTGATCACAATGAACTCAAATACAACACTGAACTAGAAAATCACCGCGAGCGGGAAATCTATACCATGTTCAAATGGGAAAGAACTTCAGAGGCGATTCAATAATGGTCATGATTTAGGGACACAGAGGAAACAGGCCCAGATGAGGCAGCATTACCAAAGACCATGTACCTAACAAAGCTCAAGGCAGATCAGAGACAGGACTCCAACTTCTTGTCTAGCCTTTGCTCAGGGCATCACATTAAGATACATAAATGCATATGCTTGCTGTGCATTCGTCTTGTTGTTAGGGAAGGAGTCCTTAATATTGTGTTTTCCTTTGCAAACCGAGTCCATTGAGTAAAATAGGAATCTGCTGGGTGACTTAGCTTCTAGGTTTTCACGTTGATGAGATCACTTCCTTCAATACTGTGATCTTTCCAAAGTAGTTTTTTTATTTGAAATTCAGATTAAAACTTAGTGTTCTGGGAAAACCTTGTTGTGATAGTTAAATGCAAAAAAGAAACTATAGGCCATATTTACGCTTTTTGCATTTAGGTTTCTGGCTCCTACCTGAGGTGTCTTCATTTTCTTCATTTGACAGACGGGGCTCTCCGGGAACCTGATTGTGCTTTCTGTCCTGTACAAAGGAGGGCTGCTGATGGGCAGTGCCCACATGACCGTGGGTGAACTCTCTTCCTTCCTAATGTATGCTTTCTGGGTTGGATTAAGCATTGGAGGTATATAATTTAAATAGGCTTGGGAGTTACAAATTAAAACTCAGCTTATTGTCTCTGCGGTAACAATTTAACTTTGCCATTGCACCACCTCTCGTCAGTTAACTTCAACTGAGAAAAACATTTCCTAGAATGTTAGTCCAAATTGCCTCTGAAAGAAGACGTAAAGATACGGACGCGATCTTGCCATGTAGGTGAGCAGTTCCTTGGCTGGGAAGGTGAGGATTTTCATAGGCCTCTCGTGGCTCATTGAGCTCGGGGTCATACTGGAGCCGTATTTTCCAACTTGCATGCTAACACGGCTTGCTGGCTCTGGTCCTAGGAGGTGGGACCAGCAGGTGGGGGCTCTGGGACCTAGGAGGTGGAAGGAAGGACAGTGCTGAACAGGTGCGCACACAAAACCCACGGTTCCTGTGGCTCTGGTAGTTACCCGACCGACAAATCACCGTGAAATAAAATTCCTTTTGTACCAAGTCAACCACATTCAAAACCGATGAACAGTCGTAAGTATAAATCAGAAAGTGCGTGAAGCAGAGTCGCTTGCCTTGGTCAAGAATCTCTCGAAGTTCAGCTTCTGTTGTTGAATCCTGGCCAAAGGGAAGCAAGTTCTTGGAGACAGAGCTGTGTGAAGTCTATGAAAGTTTTCTTTCCTGTACCTCGCCTGCATGCCCAGCCAACAGGGGACAAATGGTTTCCTGCCTTTTGTTTTCCTCCTTCCCTGAAAACTGAGATAGAAAGGTTAGATAAATAGCTTGAGGTCTGGCCAGCGGAACTCTGGTATCCCACTGTGGCATCTCCACCCAAGACGTTTCTTTTCAGGGTTAAAGCTAGAGGCTTTTCCTTAGACGTTGGCAGGCAAGTGAGGATATTTTCTGGACTGAGATTTTGAGAGATCCCTGAAAAGAGCATGTTAGTTCTGCCGGCTGCTCTGGAAGAAAAACCTGATTCAGACCGGTCAGGGTGCTAAGTGACTTGGGAAGTGAGAGGGTCGGTTCACGAGGACCCGGTGAGGTGGGGTTGCTCTCCTCTCCACCCCTGGGATGAGCCTGCTGGGCCACAGGGTCTCACACCTGGGTGGTCGTGTTCCTTCAGTCTTCTGTCCTGCCCGAGAGTGGATTTACCTTCTACCACTTACCCTCTCTGCGGCCTTTCTTTCACATCCCACGCTTGACTGCAGTCTGCTGTCCTCCCCAGCCTCCCCCAATCTTCTGTTTTCTGCCACAAGCTGCTTTGATCTTTCTTAGTCCCTCCGCTCCTCGCACCTGCTTTTCTCCAAAATTCTTGACCCGACAGAAGCTACCTCTGTTTTGAGGTCTTCACTGCCTTCCTTTTTGTCCGGACAAGTTCGCAGCTGTGTCTTGTACAGGAGTAGGTGGGAAACACGGTGTACCGGGTGACTGACCGGGAGTTAATTCCCTCCCCCAGTTACGGAAGCTGCTGCTGAGGCTTTGTCTGTGCTCGAGGTTTGAGGGTAACTTTGCTTTCTGAACCACAGGCTGTCCCATGACTCTGGTCACTGCCTGGTACAATACGTGCCATGTGGGGCTGGAGGGGGGAGAAAAGGTGCGGGTAGATGGGTGGGGATCTGTGACCACACGGTGTCCCCACATTTACAACCTAGATAGGTACTTAAGGCTGTAGGAACTTGATTCAAGAAGCTGAAACAGATTTTAAAGGTTTTTGTGAAGCTCACTGTTGAAAATAATCGCATGATGAATCTGTAAGCAAGAAATCCTATTTTGTTTATTAGAATGTATTTAATAATTAAATGTTAAAGAATGTTTAGATGTTTTCTGCTTAGAATAGCATACTGAAAAACAAATACAACAAATTCTACATATATTTGAGAGAGGATCAGAAGGGCTGTTTGAAGAAAAGCATGTTTGTTTGTTTTGTGCCAGAGAATGCCCTTACATCTACCTAGCGAACCCCAATATCTCGTTTCTTATTTATTTCTATTGAGGTGAAATTCACCTAACGTACCGTGAACCGTTTTAAAGTCTACAGTCCGGTGGTATTTTGTACATTCACAGTGTTGTGCAGCCACCGCCTCCCCTTGGTTCCGAAATATCTTCGTCACCCCCCACACCCCCAGCCCAAAAAGAAAATCCCATACTCGTTAAGCAATCGGTTTCCATATCCCTCCCTCCCCCAGCCCCTGGCAACCACAGTTTGCTTTGTGTCTTCCCGTCTTTACTGGAGTTCGCATAAAAGGAATCACACAATATGCGGCCTTGTATGTTTGGCTTGTTTCACTCAGCACGTTTTCAGAATTCGCTCACATTGTAGCATGCTTTGGTCCTTCCTTCCTTTTCACGGCTGACTAATACTCCGTTGTATGGGTGGACGGCGTGTTGTGTATCCGGGGCCATTTTGCTTTGTTTTTATTTTCACTATGTTGAACTACCTCCAACTCCTTCCCTCCTTTTTTCTTTTTTTTTTTTCTTTTTTATTAATAGAAAATTTGTTAGAGGAATTTTAGGCTCACAACAAGATTAAGCAGAGAGTATAGGGAGTTCCCACATGTTCCCTGCCCCTACGCGAGCACAGCCTCCCCATCAGCATCCCCCACTAGAGTGACACATTTGTTATCATTGACAAAGCAACACTGACAGGTGATTATCACCCAAAGTCCAAAGTCCATCGTTTACATTACGTTCACTGGTGTTGTATATCCCATGGGTTGGAACATGCATCTATCATCACAGTATCATACAGAATACTTTCACCGCCCTAAAAGTCCTCTGTGCTCTGCCTATTCCTCCCTTCCCTTAACCCCCGGTGACCAGTGATCTTTTTATTGTCTCCACACTTTCACCTCTTCCAGAGGGTCATCTAGTTCAGATAGGCATCTTTCATTTCGTAGGTGGCATTTAGTGTTCCTCTGTGTCCTTTCAGGACTTGATCGCTCGTTTCGTTTTAGCACGGACTAATATTGCATCGTCCGACGTACCACGGTTTCTTTACCCACCCACATTCTGAACGACATCTCGATTGCTTCCAGGTTTTGGCAATTATGAATAAAGATGCTCTAAAGATCCACAGGCAGGTTTTTGTGCCGACGTGAGTTTTCCCCCTCTGTGGGTAAACCCAAAGGAGTGAGATTGCTGGGTCGTAGGCAAGAGTATGTTCGGTGTAAGGAACTGCCTTCCAAAGTGGCTGTGCTATCTTACATTCCCACCAGCAGTGAATGAGAGCTCCCAATGCTCTTCGTCCTCACCAGCTTTAGGTGTTGTCAGAATCTTGGGTTTTCATCCGTCCGTTAGGTGTGCAGAAGTATCTCGTTCTATTTGCATTTCCCCGATGACATGTGATGTCACCTGTAGATCTTTACTGAGGTCTTTGGGTTCAGGTCTTCTGCCCATTTTTTGATCGGGTTGTTTTCTTACTGTCGAGTATGAAGAGTTCTTTGTACATCGTGGATACCTTTGTCAGCTGGGTCTTTTACAAATATTTTCTCCCAGTCTGTGGCTTGTCTTCTCATTCTCTCTGGAGAGCACAAGTTTTTGATTATAATGAAGTCTAATTTGTCAGTTCTTTCTTTCATGGATCATGGGTTTGGTGTTGTATCTACAAAGTCATCACCAAGCCCAGAGTCATCTAGGATTTGTCCTATGTTAACTTCTAAGAGTTTTATAGTTTTGTTTTTTACGTTGAAGTCTGTGATCCATTTTGAGTAATTTTTTGTGAAGGGCATGAGGTCTGTGTCTAGATTCTTTTTTTTTTTTTTTGCATGTGGATGTCCAGTTTTTCCAGCACCACTTGTTAAGACCATCCTTTCTTTATTGAATTGCCTTTGCTCATTTGTCAAAGATCAGTGAACGATATTTATCTGGATCTATTTCTGCCCGGTGCACTTTTAATTCAACACGAAGAGTTTAATCCACTGTATCTTGCACAGATTTCCACAAAAAATGCACAAAAATACCTTAGAAAGAATAGCTGAATTGCATTTTTGTGGTATCCTTACCGCATGTTACAAGCATATGTTCTTGCGGTTGGCATGGCCTAGCGTACTTGGAGTTTGTTTGCTTTAAGTCATTAATTCATTCACAGTTCAAAGGTGACTTTGGGGTACCTAGGTGTCTCAGTCGGTAAAGCATCCGGTTCTTGATCTCAGCTCAGGTATTGATCTCGGGGTCTGAGTTCAGGCCCCGTGTTGGGTTCCGCGCTGCGTGGGGAGCTTATTTAAAAAACAAACAAACGTGGGGCACCTGGGTGGCTCCGTCGGTTAAGCGTCCGACCTTGGCTCAGGTCATGATCTCACGGTCCGTGAGTTCGAGCCCCGCATCGGGCTCTGTGCTGACAGCTCGGAGCCTGGAGCCTGCTTCAGATTCTGTGTCTCCCTCTCTCTCTGACCCTCCCCCATTCATGCTCTGTCTCTCTCTCTCTCTCAAAAATAAATGAACATTAAAACAAACAAACAAACAGAAACAAAGGTGACTTTAAAAAGAGATTGTTGGAAAATTTAACATTTCTAAATTCCTTTTCAGTTTTTAGCCTAGTAAAAGTTGTATTTGTCGAGTGCTTGAAATGGGGTTTGATTTTGCAGATCTGAATTTAAAATGAATATTGGGATGTTTTATATTCCTTTTAAGTAAGCATTATATTCTATTTGTATTGCTGTTTTTTCACTAGGTAGCTTTTCTCTGTAATGTTGTGATTTTAATTCAGTGGTTGATTACTGTGGCTATATGCATTTGTAAATTCCCAATCAAACATGAAATCTGTATTAGAAATCAGTGAAATCGGAGGAGGAGAAGCTGAAGGCAAACAAGGGTATGAGACAGAGGGAATTTTGAGTACAGATTCCCAGGCAGTTGCCTCAAATCCTGTTTGAAAGTGAACAGATGTTATATTAAAAGCAAGTTACCCTTACTGTTTGCAGAGGGCTGTAGCAGATGGTTGTTTCCTGGCATTGGTGCTGAGTATGTTTGCTTCTTGTCCTTAGGGCTGAGCTCTTTCTACTCGGAGCTGATGAAAGGGCTGGGTGCCGGGGGACGCCTTTGGGAGCTCCTCGAGAGAAAGCCTGAGCTGCCTTTTGACGGTGGGTATCCCACGGGTTTGTTCTTTGCTGGGATTAGACAAATGTTGCTTTGGGGGTGCCTGGGTGGCTCAGTTGGCTGAGCATCCAACTTCTGATTTCAGCTCGGGTCATGATCTCGCAGTTCATGAGTTTGAACCCCCTCCCTTCCCCTCTGTGCTGACGGCTCAGAGCCTGCTTGGGATTCTCTGCTTCTCCCTTGCTCGCTTGCTCTCTCTCTCTTTCTCTCTCTCAAAATAAATACCTAAACAGTTAAAAAAAAAAAAAAATGTGGCTTGGGACAGTTAGCCCAGCTCTACCTGTGAAGGCTGAGCATGACAAGGGTGTTGTCCTTGCCACGTTACGGAAAGGGTGATCAGAGGGGCAGGTGGTGGGAGGGGAAGGACAAAGGAAGCGTGGGGGCTGACCAGGCAGTGTGTCAGTCCTGCCGGTGATTTGTTACCACCAGCAGCAGGAAGGAAGCGAGTACCACCCGGGGGTACAGATGGGAAGGGCCCTGGCCAGTCCGCCAGATTTGTCTTCTGTAGTGCTTTTGATGTTTGTGTTGGGGCGAGGGCAGGGCGGGGTAAAGGAAGGCAGGTCACACATTAAAAGCCTCCAAATTTCTTGGCTTGGGGAGGGGGGTGGGCTAGCGGATGCTGGTGTTGATTGGCTAGAGCCATCTCCTTCGTCAACTCCTTCCCTAGAAGCTAGCGCTCCGGGGAGCTACGTGACCTAGAAGCAGTGGCCACTCCGTCACTCGCTGACTCCCAGGACACTGATTGCTGCTCAGCCCCAGTATTCTCCAGTGTGACAGGCTGGAGGAAGTAAGCCCGGCTGAGGGAGATGGAGTGGCTTCTCCCGAGTCATCGGCAGGGTGAGGAATACGAGGACAGAGCAGCCCTCGGATCCCTCTGGCTCTGCGGCTGGTGTACAATGCTCAGCCCTCTGTCATCCTTCTCGCAAGACATTTAGAGAAGAGAAGATAAACCCTGCACCCGAGGAACTCGAGGTGGCGGCACAGAGCGGGGAGGCAATCGGCTTCGAAACCAGACTGCCCTACGGGTGGACGGTCGCGCCACTGCCCGTTGGCTTGGGCAGGCGGTTGTCTCTGAGACTCCGTGTCCCGTCAGTAAAACTGGGACAGTCACCTCTGCCCATCAAGGCCATGAGGCTCAGACGAACGCAGAGGTATCGTGCCTCGCACAGAGTGCGTGCAGAGCAGGCTCTGGGTGAGCGTTAGACGGAGGCCTCTTCCTGGCTTGCCCGGGAAGGGCTCACAGTCCGGGAGAGTGTGGTGGCCGTGGCCCGGCACCGCCTGGAGTCAGACGAGTGGGAGAATGGAGTTCCGCTGTCTGTTCAATCTTTGCGTTAAGTACCTCGTATTCTGTCTTGTTTCAGAAGGGGTCGTTTTAAACCAGGAAAGTTTCCAGGGCACTCTGGAGTTTCGGAACGTGCATTTCGCCTACCCCGCTCGCCCGGAGGTGCCTATATTCCAGGATTTCAGCCTTTGTATCCCATCAGCGTCGGTCACGGCGCTGGTTGGCCCAAGTGGTTCTGGCAAATCAACGGTGCTGTCCCTCCTGCTGAGGTTGTATGACCCCGTTTCTGGTGAGTGGGTCATCGCCTGGTAGGGTGGGAGGCCTCTCCAGAGCCCCCCCTACCCCTGTGTTCTGGGAGAGGACCAAATTATGCAACGACTTGTAGTGTGAGACTTCTGGATGCCAGAGGGTTTGTTCCGAGGAAAGGAAGCCCCTATACAAGGGGGTCCCTCTTAAGAGTACACAGAAGCCCCGTCAGGCAGTTCGTAGAGTTCCTGTCTGGCCTCTTCAAGTCCCGAGCGACTTCCTGAATTCTGCCTCCTCTCCCGTGCCGGTGTCTCCTTCTGACGCCCCCATCCTGGGAGAGGACAGGCAGGGCTGCCCCGCAGCTACGGGAAGGTGCCCCACGTGTGGCAGAGCATCACTGCCCAGCAGCCGCAGAGTAAGTGCCTCTCTGTGCCAGCCGCTCAGCTTGTAAAGCTTCTCTGGAAGCCTTCGGGCTGCATCCTCCCGTGAACTGCCCCGTGGCCAGCGTGCAGACCAGTGATTTGGCAGTCTGTGGTTCACTTCTAGTTTGTGACTGCTTTCTTGAAGTCATTTTGAGGTAGTAGGAATTTTTTTAAGGGATTTTTCTCGCCCTGGTTTTTATTTTGTTTTTAACTGGATCATAGCATCTTTTAGAGCAGAGAACATGTTATTTTACTTCCTTATGTCCTTTGTCAATTAAGATGTAATTGACATATGGTATTATATTAGTTCTGGGTGTACAACCGGATTTGCTGTATGTATATCTTATGGAAGGTCTAGTTAACATCCATCACCACACATAATTATAAAGTCTATATCCTTCTTTATATCAGAGCCTGAAGTAGATAGTCCTTATGTATGGCTTTCATTCTGGATTGAGACAACAAGGATGTTTCTCAACAAGAAAACAACTGCTTGTTAGTAAAGAACCACATCATTAATTTAAAATGAATACGTCTCGTGGCTTTTGTAGCTGTGCTTTTCGGTTAAGAAAACGAGAGAGCTGGCTGTGTGCCAGATAAGTATTTGCCTTGTGGATCCTGACCCGCAGAATAGCCAACTGCATTAAAATGGGTGTTAGCTCCACTGTTTGCCTCTGGAATCCCCGTTTTGATTCACTCTACTTGCTATAAAATTCTGAATTGAGAGAAGTCCTAGTGAAGTGAATGCAAAGCAAGTCAGAATATTAAGCCTGTGGTTTCTTTATCATAAACTGCCTTATCATAAATTCCAGCCTTGGGTAGACTATATATAAATATATATACACTTGAACTTTTTAAGCCAAAGACCTCAGATGTTTGCCAGTTGGCGAACGTTTACAGCTGGCTTGTAGAATCCCACACCACTGAGAAGGAATGGCATTTCTGAGTCCCCATCATCGTCATCACCAAGCATTACTGAGCGTCGTAGAATTAATTCTGTTAGCGAGGGTCGCAGGGTTACATCTGATTATTTAGATGTTCTGCTCTGGTATCAGATTCTCGGTGGCGGATAATGATTCTCTTCCAACTGCATTTATGCAGGAAGAGATAGTTTAAGGAAGAATAAAAGAGCTAAAAAAAAAAAAAAAAAATCACTGGCGGGGTTAAACTTCCAGGACACGTCTCGTAACTTCACTGCAGAACCAGGCCTTCGAGGTGGTTGCTGATGCTGACGTGGCCCGCAAGCTCCAGGATGAGGCAGCCACTGTCACAGGTGCCAGCTTCAGAGCTGTGCCACCACCGCCAGCGTCTGTGACAGCCAATGGACACCTCGCTGCTTGCCCCCTTCCATGTAACTCTCTCCTGAGTCAGTTTCGCACAGGTGCATCTTCTTGTGGGGCCCTGAGTCATTCCAGAAAGGAAGCCATTGCAGCAAAGTGAGCTGCATGGATGAGCGAGGAGACAGGCTGGTCAGCTACCCGCTGCAGGGAGACGGGAGACATGGAAGTTCCATGAAACATGTTGATTTTAGATTCCGTTTGGAGATTTTGAATGTACTTGTAATCTTTGAAAGAACCGAGTGTGGAATTTCTCCACCAGATCCTTTCTCTGTTTTCATGAGTCATTGGCCCCGTGACACTCCGTGACTTTCCTCTCCTCTCTACAAGGAACTATCAGTCTCGATGGCCATGATATCCGTCAGCTAAATCCAGTCTGGCTGAGATCCAAGATTGGGACAGTGAGTCAGGTAGGAAGAGAGGTTTCTATTTTTATTGTACTTGTCCTTTCACTTTGCTTTTATTATTTATTTTTGCCTTAGACTGACCCTCCCAAAAGAGAAGGAAGTTTTCCAGATGTACCGAACTGATCTCACCCACAGGTTTTGTAGATTTGGAAACAGAGCTGTATCTTGCAGACCTTAAACACTCGATCCAATCGAAACCGATTTTTATCAAAAGCTGGGGACTCATGTTACTTTGTAGAGCAGATAGTCTAGAGGGTGAGGAGAAAACAATAGAACTTTTCTACGTTTTACTGACTCCTCCACAGTTCCCATCTTGGTCACCAGCACAGTCTATGGTTTTCCACAATGGGCTTCAGGGATAGTAAGCAAGCCAAGATTCGGGCAAGAGCCAGCGTCTCCTTGCAAAGAGGTCGCGGAATTCGAGGCAAAATGTTAGTGTAATACGGCGGCTTTGATGGGGCTGTTTTCACGAGACCCTTTGGTGCAGGGAATTTTTGACGCAGTTGTTTATATTTTTATTACCAGGCTATGTGCACAGCAGACAAATCTGAGCCTCCCCTCAGACCTTACCCCTGCCCCCACTCCCCTAGGCGAGGAGCAGGGGCGGGGGGTTGCGTGGTTGTATAAGTATACCAGTAGTGCATATTGTTTAGGGATGAAGAAAAGAAGCTGGAGGTTTATTTGCTTCTCAGGACTGTTCCACAGGGTTCTGTGAAAATGTCATGTTCCCACCTGGTTTGTGTATATTTCTAAAAGTAATGAATAGAGATGGATTCCCCCCTTGATTCTCAGTGGGAAGCCCACAGCTGGAAAATTCAGGTGGACTCGGCATCTTCCATACCTGACAATTCCTTAAGGGGAGGAGCTTGCATTTATGAAGTGTCTACCGTGTGCCAGGCACCTGCTGTGGAATCTCATTTCCTGCAGCATAATGATGAAATCAATCCTGTTCATGGAACAACATGAATTTTTTAGAAGTCGGCTGGGCGAATTTATGGAGAATGAGGGAGTAGAATTGAGAAAACAGTATACAGCTGACCCTTGAACAACATGGGTTTGAACTGCGTGGGGCCACTCATATGTGGATTTTTATAGTGCAGTACTGTGATTGTGCTTTCTCTTCCTTATGATTTCCTAATAACATTTTCTTTAGCTTGCTTTATTGGAAGAATACGGTATGGAATACATAGAACATACAAGATACATAGTAATCACCTGCTTTATGTTATCAGTAAGGCTTCCAGTCAGCAGTAGACTATTAGTGGCTAAGTTTTTGGGGAGTCTAAAGTTATACTCAGATTTTTGACTGCGCGGGGATCAGCACCCGTCTAACCCTCATGTTACTCAGCGGCCGACTGTGTGTTCTTGGGGAGCAATTTAATAGTTTCTTAGATATAAGTACTGTATTAAGCTTCACTATATTTACTAGATATGTTTGAAGTCTGTGTTGAAATTTGCAATAAATATGTTGTATTTCCAATGTGCAGGAACCAGTTTTGTTTTCTTGCTCAATTGCTGAGAACATTGCTTATGGTGCGGACGACCCCTCCTCGGTGACTGCCGAGCAGATAGAAAAAGTGGCTGATGTAGCCAATGCAGGTGCTTTCATCCGGAATTTCCCCCAAGGATTCAACACTGTGGTCGGAGAAAAGGGCGTTCTCCTCTCAGGTACCTTTTTGTTACTGCTTTGTAGCGAAAACTTGCTGTTCCAGAGAACTCTCCAGCATTTCGTATGGCAGTATAAATTTCTAATTAGGCTCTTGTCCTTAGAGTTTATGCAATTTGCCTTTCCATTTTCTAAAATTTCTTCTGTATGTGGACTGCTCCCCAGTGTCCTTCACTTTCTACCCCAAAGGTGTTCCCAGATTCCCACGCAGTGTCCCACTGAGTAATAGCCACAGCAGCTTTTTTCTCACCTGAGAAAAAATGTGTTTTGCAACTTGAAATCCTTGAATTTTGCAGAAAAGAAGACAAACACAGGGTAGCAAGATGATCTGTCCAGGGAGGCAGAGGCTGTGAATCAGGAACAGAACTGAAATTGAAGAATTCTTTATTCCCCACTCTGTACTTTGCCCGTTAGACCAGGAGTTTCATTAAAGGGCCAGAGAGTAAATATTTTTAAAAAAGATTTTTTAATGTTTATTTAATTTGGATGGGGAGAGAGAGAGACAGAGACAGAGAGAGACAGAGAGAGAGACAGACAAAGTGTAAGTGGGGGAGGAGCAGAGAGAGAGAGAGGGAGACACAGAATCCGAAACAGGCTCCAGGCTCTGAGCCATCGGCACAGAGCCTGATGCGGGGCTCGAACTCACAAACTGCGAAATCATGACCTGAGCTGAAGTCGGACACTTAACCGACTGAGCCACCCAGGCGCCCCGGTGGTTTGTTCTCTTGGTTTTCTCCTGTTCTGTGCACGCACACAGACTGCTCCCTGTGCCTGTTGTCCCCCAGGAAAGGAAAGACAAGAGGACAGCCTGAGGACGGAAGGTGTCGGGAGTAGCGTCCTGAGGTAGAGCAGCAGAATGACAGGCCCCAGCACCACGGATGCCCTCTGCTCCCGTATCGGCTCCCATCCCCTTCACATACTGTTCAGAGACCCCTTGATGTCTTGAGTTTCTGGTTTCCTTGCCACATGGGATGTTCTGCAAGGGAAGCGGTACATGTAGCGGTTAAGAGCATAGGCCTTCGCTGTTGGTTCAGACCTCCGCTCTGCCACCTACCAACTATAGACCTCAGACTGATTATTTTCTGCCTTGGTTTTTCATCCGTGAAAAGGGAATGATTACAGAATCTACTTCATAGGATTTTTTCAAGATTGAACGAGATAACATCGTAACACATTCAGACAATGCCCGGCTCAGCGGCACTCCTCAGTAAATGTTAGCTACGATAATAATGTTTGTTACTAATTTTGAGGTTGGTGAGGCGACAGTATATTTTAAACAGAGGTCTCTGTCCCCCGACCCACCTCAGCTGTGACTAACTGGAAGAAGCTGTCTTCAAACTGCCGCGTAGCTGATCAGAAAATCCTACTACCAAGAATTTTTGTTAAGGCTTTCAAGTTTTTTAAAAAAAAACATTGTCATTGTCAGGTGGACAGAAACAGCGGATTGCAATTGCCCGTGCTCTGCTTAAGGTAAGCTTCAAGCCACTTGGCCGGGATTTTTTGTTGTTCTTGTTACCATTTTTAATTAGGGAGCTTATCATCTGTAATTTACTACTCTTCTTCCTTTTGTTTTTTTGGAGGGGGAGGCGAGGTACGTGGTTGAGAGTTCTGGTGAAAGATGGGTGGGGAGTGTTCCACCCGGTACGTCTCATCCCAATTTAACAAGTATTTCTTGGGTATGAGGAGCCCAGGACTATGCTAGAGTTGTTGGAGGGAGAGAAGTTTGGCACATGAACCTTCCATCCTGAAGTATACAGTCTAATGAGTGAAACAGTGATTAATTCAAAATATCAAACAATACAAGTGTGATTCCTTGTATCGTCTATAGTCACCTGCTCAACTTAATAGTAGTACAGACTGGAAATACTTATACAGGACTCCTAAGAAGAGAGGAAAAGCCATTTTAGCTTAAGGCCCCAGACATTGTGTTTCTTAGCAAATGATAGCCTTCCCCTTTGTTGTATAACTGTTCTCCTCAGGGTCATAGGTGAGGTTTTACTTTAAAACTTTTTTTATGAAAAAAAATTTTGTTTAAGTTTACTTATCATTTATTTTTTGAGAGAGAGTGAGAGTGCATGAATGAGGGAGGGGGCAAAGACTGAGGGAAAGAGAGAGATTTGTAAGAGGGCTCTGTGCTGACAGCAGTGAGCTCGATGCAGGGCTTGAACTCACAAACCATGAGATGACCTGAGCCAAAATCAAGAGTCCAACATCTAACCAACGGAGCCACCCAGGTGCCCCTAAAACTTTTTTTTAAATGGTTACTTATTGTGAGAGAGAGAGAGAGAGAGTGTGAGTGAGGGAGGGGTGGAGACAGAGAGAGAGAGAGAGTGAGGGAGGGGCAGAGAGAGGGAGAGAGAGAATCACAAGCGGGCTCCAGCTGTGAGCTCAGAACCTGATGTGGGGCTCGATCCCACGAGTCGTGAGGTCATGACCTGAGCCAAAATCGAGTCGGACACTTAACCGACTGAGCCACCCCGGCGCCCTCTTAGGTAAGGTTTTAAAAAACAGCTATATTGAAGCATACCATAAAATTCACCAGTTTTAAATGTACTTTTCAGCGACCTTTAGGAAATTTACTATTGCTCGACTGTCACATGGTCCAATTTTAGAACATTTCTATCACCCCGGATTCCCTTAGACACACTTGTAGCTTTTCTCCTCCCCACCTCTAGTCCCAGGCCATCACCACTGTAATTTCTATCTGTCTGGATTTGCCTTTCTGGACATTTGAGATCAATGGAGTCCTACAGTTTGTAGAATTTGGGGTTTGGCTTCTTTCACTTGGCAGAATGTTTTCAAGGTTCATCCCCGTTGTGTCACGCATCAATACTTTTTTTTTTTTTTTATTCCTGAGAGTTTGTGTTTTCCTAATAAAATTGTGTTCCTTTTCTTTTTAACGTTTTTCTTTCTTCAGAATCCCAAAATCCTTCTCCTAGACGAAGCAACCAGGTGAGGATATCTTAATCGTATGTATGACTGTATAAGCCACATTCTTCCTTTACCAAATATGACTCCTTACCTCCAAGTGATATAGTGAAAAATATATAGTGATATAGTGAAAAATGCTTTTTTCCCCCTTCCACTTTAAAGTGCCCGCATGTGACTTAACGAGGCCAGTGGACAGGCTGAGTCATAAGTTGAGTGTTCTAGTCTCAACCTAGATGCGTTCGTGATGAGCCCCGAGTCACTCTACTCAGCAGCGGTCCCGCAAGTTGTGTGGAAATCAAGGGTTCCGAGCTTCCTTTGTAGTATCTTTACGCTGTAAGAGGTAGATAGTAAACCCAAGAGGTTGTCATTTTGATCACAGTGAAAATTCACTGCCGGTTCAGGACAGCTGTGTGTCCAACAGGAAGCACATAAATACGCCGTATGGGTGGCACTGACAGCTTTGCTTTCTCATGTGGGTTTCCTGTTTAAGTGCCCTGGATGCTGAAAATGAGTACCTTGTGCAAGAAGCTCTGGACCGACTCATGGAAGGTAGGACGGTATTGATTATTGCCCACCGTCTGTCCACCATTAAGAATGCTACTACGGTGGCTGTTCTTGACCAAGGAAAGATCACAGAATGTGGGAGACATGAAGAACTTCTTTCAAAACCCAACGGGATATACAGAAGATTAATGAACAAGCAAAGTTGAGTCCGCATAAAGAAGCAGTTACCGATGAAGTGAACGCGAGAGACTTTAGAGCGAAACATGGTCACAGGAATAAACGAACTTAGAGAGGATATGAAATCTGGGCGTCACACTGCAAGTTATCTTAAGTATGCCTGTTTTTTCCCAGGGTGGGTAAAATATTGTTTTGAGATGCACCTGTTCTCAAGACCTTTTTATTCAGAGTTTTAATCATGGTAACTTTCTAAATGTCTCTAGCACTGAGATTATTTTCAGGTGTTTTACTTTCTTTTCTCTTGGAATACTTTAGTTAATATAACGTGGCACCTCATTTGTTTTTTCTTACCTGCCATTACAGATTGAAACTATTGTCACATGACAATTTTTAAAAGGGGATTTTAAATAAAAGGCTTAATTATTTTAGGTGAGTTTTCCAATCACTGTGTAATCCTCTCGGTAGTATTCTACCTCCTTTGTGTCTAATTTTACTAGAAGATGAATATCTTCCCTTTTTTTTTTAATTCTGGTAATCTCATGAAGTGAACCTCACATACAGACCTACAGAAATCGTAAACATCACGTGACAAGATGGGAACGTTTACATTCCATACTTCCTGTATTTTCAGAGGTATGAGAGTTTAGGAATATGTGTTCCTCTGGGATGAGACTGTTTGAATGTGTGTGGCTTTCAAAATCCTTAGCATGCGAAAGCCTGACGAGTTTTAAAAAGGGTTAAGAAGCCCATCCTTTGAATAAGAAAACTTCTATTTTCATTATTCACGCATTTGTTACTGTGGGAAGTGAGGCATGAACTGCCAGGTATTATTAAGAGGTAAAAATGAATTCTACGTTGAAGTCACCCCAAGGCATGTATTTTGACAATTATCTTTAAAAAATGTATAATTCCTCACCAAATGTTACTTGTCATCAGTTAAATACATTTGAAATTTCACTCAATGAGGCAAAAGCCTAAATAATTTTCAGCCTTAAAACATTTGAAGAAAGCTTAGTTCTTTCTATTCTGTACAACGTCATGAAACGTTAAGAACTTGTCACTCCTAAAAAGAGGACAATAGTCATTTTTATTTATGGTTATAGTTTTATGCACCCAAATGCCTCGGAACTCATAAAGCAATGCTGAGAGCCATTAGATTTGCCATATTTCAAACCAGTGCTGTTAATTTGCTGTTGCCTCAAGAAAAAGTGGTTTTTTTTTTTTTTACATTGACGATGCCAGAATCTAAGAAATAACTATGTTGATGTAATGAAAATAGAGGTTTTCCCTTGTTCTACATATTTACAGTTCACTGATTATACTGGAAGGAGAAATCACTACTTCATGATAAGCACAGAGTATTAGATTTCATTCTACATAAAGGAGTTTATTATTGAATAAAGTGAATTCAGTGAATGAACGAACTCCATGTTCTTTGAATTAGGAAGCAGTACATCTGTGACAATCATTTTCACAACCTTTACTTGCATTCTTTATACAATTTGCTGTTATGGTGTGGTTCTCAGAAAGCAGACAAAACACAACGACAAGGGTGGATCTCTTTGTGCCATAGAAGTATTGACAAAATTGAATTTGATCATTACATTTTATTCTCTAATACAAAAATGTTCAATTGTGTCTTTAGGGAACATTTTATATCCTGGATTAAAATTTATAGTGAACTTTATCTGTGTCTGTCACTTCTTATAGAACTTTATTACATTCAGTTTCTCACTAGAATTTGGCTTTGGAGATTCAGAAATAAGGAAAAAACTGACATTACAAATAAACTAAGTAGTAATTACAAGTTCCCTTCATTTCCTCCTTACCTAAGATTGTTACTGTCTTTTTTATTTTCTATTTATAAACTGTTAGAAGGTGAGGGAGGGATAGTAAAGTATCCCCCAAACTGAGACAGCATTGAAAGACTGGAAAACGAAGCAGGTGACTCCATTCAGTTTACACACAGTTTTATTCAAGGTAACTTACTGATGGGAGTTCGGGTGGACGACCATCCAGGCAGCTGCACAAATATTCTCCGCAAAGTTGACACCTTAGTCTAGAGATTTTATAGGGCACTATAGGGAGATCAAAGGGCTTGCATGCACCTGACTGCGAACTTGTAATTAGATCTCGTGGCACCATCCAGGCATCGTGCAGGGGAAAGACTATGTTATCTCTACAAGATTTATTGGAGGCCAAAGCAAGCCTCCGTCCCTCCCAGCCTTGGCGGTCATTTCTAAGGTATGTATGTTAATCTTCAAGGGGCCCGGAACACAAGGGAGGTCGTGGAGCAAACATGGACAAGATGGAGGGCTAAAGGTGGAATCAGTATTGTCCGTAGTCCCACAGAAACATTGTAATTAGTTGCTTCTGTGCAAGAAATAAGTATCCCCTGCCCCTACCACGGACAAGGAACTGTGCTATGGAGTGGACAGATTAGCACCTTCCCTCAAGGGGCTTCTGTTCAGAAGGAGGGATGAGGCAGATAAAAATTAATTACAAGAAGATAGCTAAATATCACAGAGGTGTCGCTGCCCTCGCCGTGGTTCCTACCACTTTGTTTCCTGAGTGTTTGCACGAGTTACCACGTTTGATACTTTGACGGTCCTATAATTTAAATAAATACCTATCATCCCCTTTTCACAGAAGAGGAAATAAGACTAGGCAAGTTGTCATTCATTCAGCGTTGATGCCATATACAAGAAACAATTAGAGAAATAGCCGGATCATGGCGGGGGGGGGGGGGCGAACCTTCAATATCATGCTGAAAATCTTAGTTTTCATCCTACATGTATGAAGAGCCATTGAAGGATGTGTATATTCATAGGGGAAATTTAGAAAATAAGCAAAAAAGGACATTTTAATCACCTGAAATTTTACACGTGAAGATAAAATTTCACGTTAATGAGCTTAACATTTTGTTGTCCGCCCTCCCAGGCTCATCTCTATGTGCAAGGCCTTCTCTGACCGCGGACCTGACTGCTTCTCAGGGAATAATCACAAGCTAAATAAACCATTATAGGCTAAACCCTTGCAAATAGTTTTATAAATTAGGGCTCTATTTTGGGAAATCCATTTTATTCCATAAAAATGCCAAAGTGGCTAGAAAATAAAACAAACGTAAATGTTATAAAACATTGAGTATATTAATGAAAGGAGTATAGGACAACTACCTTGTAAGTGTTCCTTTGGGGGTGTTCTCCGTGATTTATACATCTGAGGCATCATGGTAATCTATTCATTCAACTCATTCGAGAAACATTGATCATCCTCTATTTTGTTAGGTCCTATGCTAATAAAGGACCAGTGCCTCCCTCCTGAAACTAACCTGTGGGTCACCGGGTCACCAAAGTGCAGCCTGCTGCCTGATTTGTACAGCCTGCAAACTAAGGATGGTTTTTACAGTTTTAAATGGTTTTTAAAAAATCAAAAGAAAAATATCTCATAACACATCAAAGTTCTCTGAAGTTCAAACTTCGGTGTCCATAAACAGAGTTTTATTGGACCACAGCCAACTTGTGAGCAGTTGCAACAGACCGTACGGCCTGCAAGCAGGTGCTCTCTGGCCCTTGACAGTTTGCTGACTGCAGAACTAATGGAAACAATATGCGTGCTTCCCCGCTCGAAGGACTTTGAAAGCTGCAACGAAATGTAGCATTATCTCAAAAAAGTTCCACTGGCATTAGAGGGCAATTAAATGAATACCTTGGACACTGGCTGGGGCACGGATGATTTCCATGATGAGTTCTCCATTGTTTCCCTGCCTTTCCATTTTATTTTATTTATTTTTTTTTAAATTTTTTTTCAACGTTTATTTATTTTTGGGACAGAGAGAGACAGAGCATGAACGGGGGAGGAGCAGAGAGAGAGGGAGACACAGAATCGGAAACAGGCTCCAGGCTCTGAGCCATCAGCCCAGAGCCCGACGCGGGGCTCGAACTCCCGGACCGCGCGAGATCGTGACCTGGCTGAAGTCGGACGCTTAACCGACTGCGCCACCCAGGCGCCCCTCTGCCTTTCCATTTTAATATTGTCACCATTATGTTGGTGATAATGGAAGTGTAACAATTCCGCCACAGTCACGGGATGTAGTTCTGGCTACTATCCTCTTGTTCATTGCAGTGATTACTACCACATAAATCAAAGTTTGGTCTTAACTGAAAGGGCAGTACTTTAGGAAGGGTATACAGAAGGGAGGCACGTGTTGAGGTTGAGCATCTCACACTTGTAACTTACATGTCTATACTTAGGAGGTACTTTATTTCAGTTAAAAAAAAAATGGGCTCACATTGGACATACTATTTTTTGACCAATCTGCTTTTTAAAATTTGATACTTTCCGGGGCGCCTGGGTGGCTCAGTCGGTTGGGCGTCCGACTTCAGCTCAGGTCACGATCTCGCGGTCCGTGGGTTCGAGCCCCGCGTCGGGCTCTGGGCTGATGGCTCAGAGCCTGGAGCCTGCTTCCGATTCTGTGTCCCCCTCTCTCTCTGCCCCTCCCCCGTTCATGCTCTGTGTCTCTCTGTCTCAAAAATAAATAAAAGTTAAAAAATTTTTTTTAATTTGATACTTTCCTATATCCTTTAAGTATTCATTACACATATCTACATGTAGTCTTTTTAACCATATAGAATTCTATAATGCGAATATACTATAAATCTATCATCGGGTATCCTTCTATATTCCTTGCTATTATAAACAATACTATCTTTGTTATGATTTGTTTTGTTCAGGTAAACTTCTAAAACTTCAGATAAATTTCTAATTGCCAAGTTTAAGGAGCACATACAAGTTATAAGGCTTTTTGATAGATTGTCTGCTTAAAAGACTGTACTAACTTATAAAAATCTCACCAGAAGTGTATACATCAGCGCCTCTTCCCCCCGCAGCCTTTCAACATGAGCTCTTTTCATTTTTTAAAACCTTCCAGCTAATTCAACTGACAAATAATACTGATGGGTGGTTTGATTTACATCTCTTAATAATTACTAGTGAAGTTGAAGACCTTTTCATTGTTTGTGGTCATTTGTAGTCTTTGACTTAATGCTAGCTCATGCCCTTCGTACATTTCCATCTTTTCCTATTGGGGTAGCCTGCTTTCTCTTACTGATTTTCTTAAGGAGTATTATTTATTGGAAATGCTGGTTTTCAGCTTGTTTGCCCTCACTATGTTTGTGTTTTTTTGACATCCACAAATATAGTCATATCTATATTATCTAATTCTCACAAATGAGTACTATTGGTAATCTAATAAAGGCTCAAAAAGGTGACACAGATAGCAAATAGCAGAGGTGAGATTTGAAGCAAGTCCCATTGGATTCGAGTCTATGCACTCAATTACTACACCAGTCGTTATCAAAATGTCCCCAGACAGCAGCATCACCAAAACCTGGAAACTTGTTAGAAATGTAAACACGCAAGCCTTAGCCCAGACCTAGGACTCAGACGCTGTGGGTGGGCAGCAATGCGGCTTAACAAGCCCTCCAGGTGATGAAGCACCCTTGAGTGTGAGAGCCACCGCACTACGCTATCCCCTTCTTCTTGATTTCCCCGTAGGAGAGACTATACTATTTAAAATGAGGCCCAAAGTAAGGAAATGAATTTTTTTTTTTAATTAGGAAATGGCAGCCACTAGGAAAATGTCGCATCCTCGGTGGTGATAAAGAAGCACTCCGCTGCCCCAAGGCATAGTCCTGAGTATCTACTGTTTCACTCGCGGTCCCCACCATACACTGCGGGAGGCTGACATCCATGGACTGTACTCAGGAGCCACAGTGTACCAGCCTGTTGCAGTGGCGGGAAGTGTGAAGAATGACTCTAGGGTGGCGCTCTTATTTTTGACTTGGGTGATCGGCCAATTTTACCAAGTAGGGCAGAGGTGGTAGGAGAGGGGTCCAAAAGGAAAACAAGAATTTAGCAGGTGTATTGTGAGGAGTCTGCAGGACATGCAGAGCAAAGTGTTAGGAGCCCGCAGTTTTTGACCAAGATCCGGGATAGAGGCGGACTTGGGGTGTTACTAGCGTGGATGAGACAGTGCGGGGCTGAATGGGGAATGACAAACCTAGAGACCAACAAATACAACGCTAAGGGTGAAACCAGTGACAGCTTTTCGGTTTTTCTCCCTTCTCAGCGACGCACACTTTCCAGTTCCCCAAGAGGCTCAGAAAGGACCAGCGTGCAGAGAGGCTTTGCCTTCAGGCTGCTAGCGGGCCAGCCCCACCCACCGGAGTCGAGAAGGGCACCTGGCTTTCCAGTTTCACTTCTCCGGAGGCTAGAGACACCCGCCAGCTGCCTAGAACTCTCCACACTAGTCACCGCTGTGATCACGCCTCGCGGCGGGACACGACCCTCTGACGTCATTACGGCGCGCCCCCTTCCAAACCGCCCCCACCACGCCCCGCGCCTCGGCGCGGCCCTTTGACGTCTGACTGCGCGCTTTCCCCCGCCACCTCGACCACGCCCCGCGGCTCGGCGCCGTGCTTTTACGTCATCAGCGCGCGCCCTCCCGCTCCCGGGTGTTCAAGCTCCGCGCGCGAGCGGAGTCTCAGCCCCACAGGCGGAGTATCTGTCGCCTCTCCTTTCCGTCATGTTCCCGGCCGTCTCCTCTCCGCGGACACCGGGGCCCGGGACTCGAAGGGGCCCGCTGGCCGGAGTCGGGCCGGGCTCCACGCCCCGGGCGACAAGCAG